GAAGCTTAGCCTGATGTGACAATCTACTCGGCCCACTAAACGCGTAGGAAACGCCTCAGCACGAGGACGTGTCTAGTAGCGCGACAAAGAGCGTTCTAGAAGACTCGGTGGAAGCAGGATTTACCCGGGCTACTAAACGGGCCCAACGAGAATCAAGCCCAACAAGGCTCAAGTGAACTAGGGCGAACACGAGGACAGGGTCTATAAAAGGGATAAGAGGAAGCAACAAGAAAGGATCGGGAATTCGACATACTCACTTGGCGGCTAGATCTAGGGTTTCTTAGCGATTAGGTAGTTAGATCTAGGGTTTACTCACCATACCGTTTAGTCACCTTCTTGTTTACTCACCTACCGTTTAGTCACCTCCCTGTTTACTCACCATCTTGTATTTCCGGCTAGTCCGCCTCTTTACTCTTCCCTTTGTAACTCCTTGTTCAGATCTAATAAAACGTCTTTGTTCGCCCTCATCTCTCTTTATATTGTTCGAACCATTTTCACCTCAAACATTCTTCTTCATCATCGCTGCTGGTGGCTTCTTCTTCATCATGTGAGGAGCTTTGTCCGTTGTTGTCTTCCTCATCTAAAGCTTTTCCGCTGCAAAAAACGTCGACGTTTAGGGTTTTAAATCGGTTCTGTATTGCACGTCTTCGCAAGATGAAGACATTGTACTAGTAGCTAACAAGCTTCTTCATGGTTCTTGAAACAAAGCGATTGAGACCTAATTCAAATTAGATTCAATTCAAATTTAGAATCCTAATATGTTCCAACATGTCTTATTCTCAAAACTATGTTTTTTTCTTCTTCTCTCTTTGGTTTCCTTTTACATTGCTTCGAATTGGAGTGGAATTGGAATTAATTTAAACTAATAATAGAGAAAAAAACTAACAATATAATCTATCAGGATAATTTTTTAAGGAAGTTTTCTTTCAGAGTTTAATTTGTGTTTAATTATGCGCTAATATTGTATTCACTTATGTCAAAAATAGTTGACATAGTCTAAATTCTCTTAAATATAGTTAATGTCATCTAAATCGATGTGTAAAATCTGCAAATATTAAAAGTTTGTGTATTTATTGAGAAACAAAAATTAGTTCATGTATTAAATGGAGTTCCAAAATAGTTCGTGTATTTTATTAACAAATAAAAATAAATAAAAATTAGTTCATGTATTTTTAAGGAATTTTCTTTTCACAATTTACCATGTGCTTAATTAAACATTAACGCTGTCGCCAACTTCCGTTAAACAGTTAACACCGTCTAAAGTAATGTGTAAATCCTATGAATTTCAAAAGTTTGTGTATTTAATAGATAATGAAAATTAGTTAATGTATTAAACGAGATCCAAAATAGTTCATGTATTTTATCAACAAATGAAAATTAGTTTGTGTATTTTTAAGAAATTTTCCCAATAGTTTCGATCAAACTCTCTCTCTCACTTCCATGAAATGTCGCGCACATGCAACCTTTAGAAACAAACTGATCAATACTGAAATCAAGTCACACGATATCTATGAACACAAGAACACAAACAATGAGCTCACTAGTATAAGAAACTCTTTTTATTCTTTTCTTAAAGGAAAACTATCTCAAAAACTTAATTCTCAAACTCTCACAAACTCATAAGTTATGCAACACTCTTATATCTCCTTATATATAAATCTGAATCTCCTAAAATCATTAGATATAACACTATTAGATATTTCTTAATCCTTTTAGATAATCATAACTCGGTAGGATTAAGAAACTTAGTTCTCAAGCTAATTATAAGCTTAATCTAACATTCTCCCATTTAAGCTTACATTTTTAATCTCCATGTTCTTCATGTCAATGTAGTTTTATTTCCTTGACATCTAGGTGGGACACATGAAGGAAACAAAGGTCTAATTTTAACCACAAAATTATCTAGGTGAGATAATCATTTGTTATAACACTATATTTTGACGGTTTGATCTATGTGTATTTATTTTGGTTTTGATCATTTGTATATGTGTTATGAATTATTTTTCAAACAAACTTTAATTGAGTGATGATCAAATTCTTTATCAAAATTATATTTGTGGTGCTAACAACATAAAACATATTAATTCAACGATGTTTTTTCGTAATTCATTTAGTTTGTATGGTTTTCAATACATTAACTAAGTTTATGATAATATGGTAGTGTATTGTTTGTACAAATGTTTATCATTTTTCTAATTTAATATTTGTAATAACATTTGCTTAATGAGAAAGTGAATGGCTCTTAATTTTGTTTTTATCAGTGGAACATATGAAAAGGATAAATTGATTGCTTTGACGTTTTGTTTGTTGAATTATCTTTTTTTTTTTTGTCACTATGATATAAGAGCTGGCATAATATTATTAAAAACCATTTAGTCATTTTAAGAGTAAAAGCATGACTTGTGTGTTTATATATAGAATTTTGATTTATCCTATCAATATTTTGCGTGAATTGAACTAAAAGAGCATAAGACTATTGGCATGTAGCATTTTTACTGATAAGAGACAATTAACATATTTATTTCTGAAAATTCAATAATAATGTAACACTTAGAATTCAAAAATACAAAATAAACAAATCAATATATTGGCTTATTAAAGGATAGAAAACTATTTGATTGAGTTATACAAACAATTTTAAAAATTAAAGTTAAATTGATGATTGAAGTCTGTTATGTCATTATTCTCTTTTAACATCTACTAGGTGGCTATACGCGAATTCGCAGATATAAATATATTATGTATATAATGTCAGAAAATTTTGAATAACAGTTAAAAACATTAAAAACATAATGCTTAACTTCAAATAGTTTGATAATCATTCGTTTCTATAAATTTGATGTAAAAATAACTCATGAATATTTAGTAATAACAAGTACTTGTGGATTTTATTAAGTATGTAATTATCGCATTAACTTCTCCAACACATATTATGCATCTTCTTATTTTTCTCTTTATCATTTCATTTTTTTATTAAATATTTTCTGATCTTTTTTAATTGTTTACAATTTTTTTGCCAAATATTTATTGATCTCTAAATAGTAAGACAAAACATACAATCAATGAACCAAAAGTCCATCTTAGAACTATTTTTAATCATAACATTCAATCATAACATTACCTTATTCACTATATTATTTGATTTAATGCAAAACATTTTAAAATCGAAATTCTCAAATATTTGTTTAAATATACTCTGACCAATCTTCAAAGTCTAACTATTTATAAAGCATACATTATAAGAGATTAATAATTATTATAGATACAAGTATATTTTTATATGAATATGATATCATTATATCGATTGCTATAAATTATTTTATATTCATTTTATATAGTATATAAATATAAAAAGAACTATCATTAATTTTATAATAATTTATATACTATGAAGATTTTAAACTCTTGTAAATAATCTATAAACTCGTTTTATGATCATTATAGTTATTATAGTGTCTTTGTATCAAAAGTATATGTGTTTATCTATGTATATTATAACTTATATACGAAAATAAAGTTATTTTACCACTATTTATAATAGAAAAATAAAGTTAGTAAATTATTTTTATCAACTACTCTTTTAAAATATACTTTATATAATTTATAAATAGATTATTAGTGAATCCATATAAATGAATAAATATTATGTAAAATTTTCATAATGCATAAGACAATATAGATTGTTTGGCAACTAACATTAATTGGTTTTAGGATTACTTCTTTGATATTTTAATTAAAATAAATGCAAATTAAAAATTCTCAACCAGTCAGATTATAATATTTTTTTAAACTTTACATATAATTAAAATTACCTACGTGATTTCTCAATTAATATATAGTAGTATTTAAGTTTACTAAGAGCATATAAGAACTTTACCCTAACACCCCAAAAAGGAAAAGTTAAAGACAGAAGTTCTTATAGTGGATTATTATTGATCACCAACACCAGCATGATACTAATTTTCTAAAAACCTTTATTTCGTGTGAATGAATTTCAGAAAATAATAAAATAAAAGGGACAAAGAGACCAATTTATTAAATGCCAACAAAAAAGTAAATTGCAATTATTCCCCTCCGCTGGTTTCTTTCATGACTGTTGTCATTGCTGGAATAAAGTTAACAAAATGATTTTCCTTGTTTTTCAAAAAGTTACTTGCACACACTTTTTAAGATCTAATTAGAGTTTAATCACTTTAATTAATTTCCTTAATTTTTTTTTTTTTGGTCAAACAACAATTAATTTCCTTAATTTAACAGTACTTTATTCAGCAAAAAAAAAAAAAAATCATAAATGAACTCTACGCATAGCAGAGAAAAGTTTATAGAGCT